TTTTCTTTCTTTTCTTTCAAAATTGTAATTTTTTGTAACCTTTCATTTTTTTGGAATGAATTGGGCATGTCATGCCCCTATTTTTCCCCAAAAAAAAAAAAACTTAGGAACATCTTAATGGTCCATAGATATTTATCTGCATGGCTTGATTTATCCATAATCTAAATATCTATTAATATGCTTTATATATTACTAATTAAAGATAATATGCCTAAATTATAAATAAATAAGATTCCTTAATTAAATAATTTTTTTTTTAATTTAGATATTTCTAAATGCTTTATATATTATATAAAATTTATCAAATATGTAAACATATTTAATTAGGGTAATTGAAAGTCTTAAGCTTATATGCTTGAAGTTTTATTATGTATTTGATGTGGACATCAGATCTACGGCCACGATTGCACTGATCTATTTTTGAGTCTTCATATGTATTTGTTTTATTTAATTATTTTATGTATTTGTTTTAGTAGCTTATCCCGTTGTACATTTAAGGGATTTGTCATATGTAAGCCCTAGGGGCATTGTCATCTTTTATTTTCCCTTTCATTGTATGAGGCTATATAGAGCCCCCTTATGGTTCTTTCGAAGTTAATGAATGAATGAATTAATTGTAATCAAATTCCTGCAAATTGAGTTCTTGTGAGAGCTTAAGGGTCTTTGGAGAGAAATCTCTATGAGAGGGAATTAGATCACCCACCAACTTTGGAAGTGTCCGGGTTCATGTTTATTTTTCTTTGCTATCTTCTCTTCTTCCTCTTCCCCATCCCTTCCACCATACGGCCCCACCATCTTCACATAAACTATCAGCCACTCCAAGCCATTCCACCTCCAGCCATCCTAACCACCACCCCAACTCTCGGTCAAGTCCCACCCCACCTTCTCCACCCTTCGTACTGGCGGCATCCCATCACCCTATTACAAAGCTACCTGAACCCCACCAACCCTATAGCCTAGCCGTCGGCCTACCCTTTCCCCTTTTGCCTCCAAAAACTTCAAACTCCTCATCACTACTTTCCTTTATTACTTAGTCTCTTTTGGGAAAGCTTTTCAATTTTAATTATTCAAATCAAATTTGAATTTTGAAATATTTCCTAAAATAGAATCCTATTTTAGGAAAGTTTCTAAATCAAATCCAAATTAAATTTGAATTGAATTGGAATTAAATTCTTTTCCTTAATATGAGAATCCCACTTAAGTAAGTATCAAAATCCTTGCCAAATTCCCCCAATCCCCCTTAATGCTGCTTGCCCCTCCTTGTCTCCACCTCCTTAATGCTTTCCAAAATAAAAACCTCTCACTTGGGAATGAAGTTAAATCACTTTCTCTCTCCCTTACCCGCCCCCTCTCTCTCTAACCCCCTCCCCCCCCCCCCCCCAATTTAAATCCTTCCAAAGTTAGAGGATAATTAGGAACTATTTCTAATTTTCCTCCCTCCACCTCTATAATATAAACCTAACTTTTCCCCCAAGCCCCTACCTTGGCTGGCCAACCTTTTCACCCCTTCCCCTACTTGGTTTCTTGAGAGAAACTTCTTTCTCTCAAAGGGAATCCCCATGGCAACAAAGGGACATCTTTTACAACACTTCAACGCTACGAAATTGATGCATGTCCGATCCTGAACTTGACTCCGACTTCGTCTACAACGAACAATGCTACGTCAACATCCTCCGATCTCTTTTCTTCGATGTCAATTCGGAAGTAGACAATTCCGCTGAGGAATACTTGGAGCGTATCATATTCACCTTGTCAGAAGCCATTAAAGAACAGCTTTCCACTGTTCAGTGGCAAATCATCGTCGTGCCTCGACGAGGGTGAACTTTTCCCCCTCTTCAATTTCCTTCCTAATCTTCTTCTATTGTAGGTTGTGAATCAAGCCTAAGGAATCGTGTAAAGCTATATGCCAAAGCTTAGCAAACGTAGGGAATGAGTTATGACTTTCTATGCATCTACTCTCATTGTTAACCTAGGGATGTTATTGAAAATCCCCTAAATTTGCTTATGTTGAAGTTCTAATCATTTTGGTGATCTTGACTAATAGTGTGTGATTTGGCCTAAGCAGAAGCACCCCTCTTTTTTTTTTTTCTATTATCGTTAAGTGGCTAACGTGTTAATTTTTATTGCTCTTACTTAAAAGTGTGCAAATTCTTATTACATTAATTTAAATCACACATAGTCCTACATCAATTACTCAGGTTCTTATTTCTCCCTATTGAAGTAGCCTTAATCATCTCCCCTTGGTTCCCTTTGATTACAGCCTTAACTTCCCTATTAACCCTAGAAATCATCATTCCCATTAAAGATCAACATGGTTTAGAAATTATGCTTGGATGACTCCTAATATCTCATATATATATCAAAATCTCTTCATGATTCTAGCTCGATACAGGCTTAGAAGTGAACTTGACGGGACAAGTTAACTTTGTGGCTTAGCTATGCTCAATTTAACGTGCTTGATCCGGTCAGTAAACATGAAAACTCCTCAAATTATGAATAATATTTAATGCTTAATGAACCTTCATTTATAGAAGATCATTGATATATCCCTTAGGTATTAGGTAACCTTACTTCAAATAATTCCATAGGAAAGTGAAGGCCATAATTAATGAGCATGTGTTAGATTTCTATTAAAAAAAAAGTGTTAGATTTTTATTATAAAAATTGTGATCTATTATTGGAGTTTCATTTAAGCTATGAATATTAAATTATTGCTTTCTAAATGCTCTTTACACCTATATTCATTATGCCAAACATTTTAGTTCTTCATTGTCTATTATGGCTGAGCCTATGCCTCTAGTGACCCTCTAAGAAGGTCGTATGCATTTCATGTTGTCATTGTTAGCAGGACCAACCTCGATTCTCTTCCTTTAACAATTCATTTATCTTGGAAATTTGTATTGGGAAATCCTTGAGCACAATCTCTCTACAATTTTATTCATATTTCAATCAACGTTTTTTGCTTTATCATCTTCTACCACACAAGGTATATGCCATCACCTAGCATGACTTCCTTACCTCCTTCCCTTCAAGGTATTCTTCTACCCCAATGAACCATTGGTCTCTCCGAGGTCGCCATCAATAACCTTTTTCATTCTTGGCATGCCATTGCTCTTGTTGGACTGAAAGCTTCACCTTCTTCACAAAGGTCTTTCATCTATTCCAATTCCTTCCTCGGTACTACCACTCAGCGTTCACTCCCAATGTAAAGTGCTTTCTCTATTTCTCCATCATTATGAAAATCCATTCATAGCATATATTTCTCATTCTTTGTAACAGTCTACACCATGGTTTAAAATTGTGCAATATGAGGCTCGCCTTTACGCAATTCTAGTAAAAAATGCCTCGATGTTTACGCCTCAAGTTTTTTTTATGAGGCTTGCGCCTCAACTTTGGTTGAGGCCCGCCTCGCCTTATTGGCATGAGGCTTATGCCTCACACTATATATATTAAAACTTACATAAATCTTGAAGCAAATGCCCGACATTGGACTCTATGGGAGAGGAAGAAGGGGAGAGAGCAGTTCATCATAATGATGATTCAAATGAAGAACCCCTTAGTGATTACAATGTTTATGACTTATGAGTTCTTATGTGATATGTCATTGCTATTTATTTTTTGAAATTGGAATTATATGTTAATGAAAAAAATACTGGGATTTGGGAAAGATAGAATTTTGAGTTGAACTATATTTCATGTTGTTTTATTATTGGGATATTTTGATTTCACTTCATATCTTATGCTTTTTTATGTTTTATATTATTTATTCATTAGTATATAAAAAATTTATCATTTTATGTTTACACAATCTTTTGATTTTGAGGCTTACGCCTCAAAACGCCTTGAGGCTTACGTCTCGCCTCACGAATGAAAAATGCCTCAATACCCGAATACGCAATTTTAAACATTAGTCTACACCCATGAGTATCAATTCAAATTAATCTATTATTACCTATTTATCACGTTGATTATCATTAATCAATATAAATTTCATGTCACCCATAAATTGATTAAGCATTTATTTTTCATTTTAATAATTTCTTCTCAAAAACCAAATCCATGGGAAAGATACCTAACTTACATGATGAACTACATGAAGCTTGATCCATACTTTGGTAAATAATTAAATAGGAAGCATCTGTGATAGAAAACTCAATTCCAACAAAACATTCATTTATATTCTTATCTTGTATATTCCCTTCCTCATCAATCTTCTCCTTATAAAAAATCTTGATATCGTGGCCTCAAAACAAATTTTCATATTAACTCCTCTCCTAAAGCTCTTGGGCAGAGAGTAAGAGGATTGAGGATGGGCATAGTTAGGTAGAGAATCTAGAGTAATCGAGTGGCTGCTTGGCAGAGAGGGAGTGGTGTTCGGATGCCTATAGTTGTGAAAAATATTTTATCATCAAATAATTGCATCTATCTTTTTTATATATTATAGGATAATTTTCAAAAGAAAATTCCAAATACATGACAATCACAAATTCAAATTCAAACTAACTAGAATTAGGAGCTAAACTAGAAAATAGCATCTAATCATAAAAATAGGAGATTTGAATGGAAACCCATCCGAATTCCTTGGTTTATCCACGGACAGACAGAAAAAGGGTAGTTCCACATTTTGTGTATTGGTTTCTCATTGTATTTTATGCCTCCTTTTTGTTTGAATCCCTATTAGCGTGTTGGATTTTAATTTTTATGCGTGTTCTCTTGAATATTCTTTGGGCGCCTGTGAAGCTTCCTGGACCCTTATGAGAACTTCTGGAATGTCCATAAAGGTTTAGAATATTCTTAAGTTTTAGTCCTCCTTGATCACTTCTTCTGTTGCTGCATCCTATTATTCTTTCTCATCACCATAGCTAAGTATTATGAAGTATTATGAACATGCTCATAGCTAAAAGATACAGATTCATGAATACTCTGATCTTTCTTTTTAGACTTCAACACACTCCCTGATTTGTTTTGTTTGCCCGTCCTTTTTTTTGTTTTATTTTCAGGTAGCAGGTACTTCGAGATTGATCATTTCCAAAAACACTGCCGAAAATAGTAAAAGTCATCACTACAATGATGGCACTGGCGCTCAAAATGAGAGAGAAGAGGGAGAGTTATCACCAAATTTAGATTTTGAAGAGGATAACTTTGTGGCTTTCAAGGATTCAGCTATGGATGCATCAGCTAAAGCAAAGGATGGTGCTGCTGGCAAACTATATAAAATAAGAGCTGGGGAAGTGGAAACCTGTGGTGAGGCTGCAGGAGAGAATGATGCTGATGCTGATGACGAGGGTGAAGAAAGTGGCCATAGATCTACAGAGGACAGTGAAAACGCATCTGAGGCAGGAGAGGATGTTTCAGGCAGTGAATCAGATGAAGGGGAGGAGTGTTCTCCTGAAGATCATGGTGAGGAAGATGCAGATCATGATGATCAGGAGGATGCTAAGGCTGAAAGTGAGGGTGAAGCTGAAGGAATAGCTGATGCGCATGATACAGAGGGTGAAATAACTTCATTGCCCTTTTCAGAACGCTATCTGCACACTGTGAAACCTCTTGCAAAGCATGTACCTGCTGCATTACAAGAAAAGGATGTTAAATGCTCCAGGGTTTTCTATGGAAATGATTCTTTTTATGTTCTTTTCAGGCTTCATCAAGTGAGCTTTCTCCTTCCTCCGACTGAACTATTTGACTAAATATCTTGATACTGATTGTGAACCATTTTTCATATTGAAAAGTAAATATCTGGAAGTTGATTGTGGACTATTTTCATATCCTTTTGAAATGGCTGGCCCGTATTTATTTGAAAATATTCTTTTAGCTTATAATTGGCAATTAAATTCCCGATTAATTCTTTTGTTGCAGACTCTGTATGAAAGGATACTTTCTGCAAAGAGAAATTCATCGGCCGCTGAGAGAAAGTGGAGAGTTTCGAAAGATACGAGCCATCCTAATCTATATGCAAAGTAAAATATGTTTACGCGGTTTTTTTTTCTCTGAATATTTTGTGGTTTGAGAAATTAATATTTAATTTGAATGTTGTAGGTTTATGAGTGCATTATACAGTCTGCTTGATGGCACGGCTGATAATGCAAAGTTTGAAGATGATTGCCGAGCTATTATCGGAACACAGTCCTATCTTCTTTTTACATTGGACAAGTTGATTTATAAAGTTGTTAAACAGGTAAAGTTTTTTATATCCATCATTATCTTGTTGATGTATTTGTGAAATCTAACTATCAGCCTATTACTTTCAGCTTCAAGCCATTGCATCAGATGATATGGACAGTAAACTTCTTCAGCTTTATTTATATGAAAAATCTAGACTGCCGGGGAGAATTTTTGATTTAGTGTATCATGAGAATGCACGTGTTCTCCTTCATGATGAGAGCATGTATCGATTTGAATGTGTAAGTCTGGCTACACTTAACTGTGACTATTTTAGTTTGGAATGCTAATGCTAAATGCACTTGCATTTTGAAAGAATTGCACCAGTTTTGAACTAAAAATCATAATTACTGGACTATGATGCACAATGATAAAGCAACATTTAGTTTATAGAGCTAACCTAAAAGATCCCTTTTTTTTTTAGTAATAATCCATGCAGTATCACCTTGTTTAATTCCAATGATTGTTTCTTATGACATTCTTGATGGCCATTATATTTTCTTCATTTTTTGCAGTCTTCAAATCCCACTAGGCTTTCTATCCAGCTAATGGATTATGGGAATGAAAAACCAGATGTTACAGCTGTTTCTATAGAGCCAAATTTTTCAAGTTACCTGTACAATGATTTCCTGTCCAGTGTTTGTGATAAAAATGAGAGGCTTGACATATTTATGAGAAGGTACATAAAGTGACAGACATAGTCTAATTTATTTCCAGAAACTCTGCCATCTACTGATTTTGTTCACCATCAGAAATAAAAGAAAATTTGGAAGTGATGAAGAGAATAATCTTCATTGCAAGGCTATGGAGGGGCTTCAACTATTTAATGGTTTAGAATGCAAGATAGCAAGTTTCACCTCAAAGGTAAGTTTTAGCTCCTCTGAGGTCTGATAACTTTCTTCTAGCTCAGGACGTTTTATATGAAATGCATATGCTGCAGGTTTCATATGTGCTGGATACAGAAGACCTCTTAGTACGCATGCCAAGGAGGAGGAGAACTTCCCAGGGAGCTTCAACATCTTGTCACAATCAAGCTCATTTTTTAAGGTCTTACACTGCCAAAGTAGAGAAGTTTCATCATTTTCAGGCCATGAATTTAACATGACATTCTTCAGACAACGAGGTAATTTTACTTGCCATAAAAGGGAAATGAGTGTCCATATTTATTGTTACTTGTTAGCACATTCATACCATTGAAATTTTGAACCTTAAATTAAGCTTCTTATCATAAACCGTGCAGTGGAAATTTGTTGTATTTGGTTGAGGGTCTTTTGGTTTAAGGCTAGACGATCCTCGTCTCTGACCTTCGCTAGCATTGTGGGACAGCAGCAGCTTGGTTCTTCCGCTCTGGATACTGCAAGCTCCACAGTAACTTCCATAATGCATGGTAAATATTCCCCAAGTAATGTGATTTTCACTGCCTTTTCATCCACCATCGTGTACATATTAGAAATATCAGAATTTGTTTGTTTGATTCGAATACTGGAGCTTCTGTTTTGTACACCTCAACAAAGCTTTTTTTTTAATATATATTTCTCAAGAAAGTTTATTTTTTTAATATGTTCTACAATATCTCATACATTCTTTAATGCTCCCGCAGCTTTTCTTTTCCTGTATGCCCATTATGGCGTTATAGCTTTAGGCACCTTTGCCTTGTAAGCAGTGACGTCATGGGGATAAGTGTCGTACCTTTTCTCCTTTTAGTATCTCTTTATGCTTTTTGAATTTATGGTGTTTTTTTACTTATACAAGAAAAAAGGGATATTATCAGCATGATTTCGAATTATATGATTCTGTTCCAAACCCATTAAACTGTGACAGTTGATTGCACAGGGACTGCTCGCCAGCAATTTTATCATTTTATTTTATTTTATTTTATTATTTTTTTTTTTTTTGTGACAAGGAAGCATTGTCCTTAGGCCAGTGAAAACCACGGCCAATCTAGCTTGCAACCCACACCAATTTACACCGGCCAACACTTAAGGCTTTCATTGCTTGTCAAGGGATTCGAACCACAGACCTAGGCTTCGCCTAGCCGGCTTTTCACCACCCGGACAAGCAGCGGTGGGTTTAACACTTTATTTGTATGATGGTGCATGGATTTTTTTGTTTTGTTTTGGGACGGAGTATCTACCCGCTGTCACTCCAAAGGGAGTGTTTGACGGTGTAACTAATATCTCGGCGAAACCTAACGAGGTCACTCACCAACATCCAGCCCACATTGGGGGTATTGTTTTCTATTTGCCCTTTGTAAACTGGCCCCACATGATCTCTTTAAGAAAATGGGTTGAGGTTCAGAGGTTAAGCCAACTTATATTGGATCTGATTTTGGTTGTGGCAGGTCAAATCTTTAGAATATCCTGATTGAAGTTTTGTATGGTTGGGCTTAACATTTTAAGACGTCAATTTTTCTATAATATTTATTTTATTGATTATACATAAATCTTTTAATATTTTATATTTTTAATATATATTTCACAGTATTTGTATTTCTTATTTCTAAATATCTAAAAAATTGAAATCACATAATTGCCATCTGGATATCATTTAAACATCACGTGTTAAATTTTAAGCCCATCTTGATTAAATTTTCATCAGGATAGCATAACAATTTTTTTTCTTTTCGAAATCTTTAGCGGTGCCATCCGGCCCTCCTGCCACACGTCTAACCTTTGATGATCTGAAGAGAGTCATGCAGTGTAATAACTGTTATTATAGCGCTGTTATTCTACCAAACTTCATTATAGTTCTTTCCGTAGGCTCTCTTAATATGAGCTTTGTTTGCTTAACATCATTCAAGTCAGGCTCGAGTTATGTTTTGGCCATAGAGCTGGCTTTGTTTATCTGATTTAACCGTTCTGAATGAACAGTCATTTTGATGTCAATATGCAATTTTGATCTTTTGGGATAACCTTTTTTGGTTTCGTTTGTCAGGTGTTGCCTTAAAAGTCACTTGAATATCTTGTTGGAGAAGTTGAAATGATGTTGATGTTAAAGCTAGTATATTGGGATGGCTTTTTTACTGTTTTTTGAAACAGTTTTTTAGTACAAAATTTTTATTATTTCGTTGGATCTGTTATTTGGCTATTCTGCACAATTTAGAAGCTGCTTTTTCTTCCTGGATGACTCTAGACTTGACTTGGTTTAATTTGTTGAAGTGTTATGCTTTGAAAGATCAAAGCAACAAAATACTCATAAATATGTACAAAACCATCAAAATAATTAGGAAAATTAAGCTCTATAATTGGATAGAGCTTTATAGTAATCTTAATTTTTTTAGTACTTTAAAAGGTTAAATGTATGTAATAACTTCAGTTATGATTGGGGGCTCTGCATACATTTTATTTTAAATGCAGTGCTATATTTTTCAAAAATTAATATATTTAAAAAATAGTATTTACTTTTTATTAATTTTTATAACACATCTAAGATATATATATATATATATATATATATTGGTTTTTGGCAACGGGGTATCGGCCTGTTGTCACGTCACTTTGTGACGCGTTTGGCGATGTCAATTAATTTCTCAGCGAGTCTATCAGCAACCAACCCTACAGGTGTAAGATCCATAATTCTTTTCTTTTCACTTAAAGAGTCGATCCCCTCTTATACAACACATCTAAGATATCACTCTTCCATTGTGCTTGATGATCTCTATGCAAAAGAAGTATTCGTTGGAAAGCGTTACATATTATTGTGGTGTGACGAAGATGCGACGTCCCATCGGCTTTTATTGGATCAAAGAATTAGATTCTGTCCACAATTACAAAACAATGAAACATGAGAAACAAACAAAGATCTTTAAGATTTTATATAATTTTTATTCCTTTGAATTTGAAAATTTGAATATATAACTCATTTGCTCAAAGTTGAATTACAGTATTCAGATCTTCCATAACAAGAAATCTTTCTCCTCTCGAGAGATAGCCAAAGAGCTCCAAGCCTCTGACGGTCTTCCTAAAAATAGAACTGAAAAACTATCCTATTCTCAAAGGTTAAGTAAACACTTTTGAAGAGAAAAAATAGCAAAAAAAAAAAAAAAAAAGTTGAATCAAGTGGTCATACACATATAGATCTCCAACTTGAGACTTAATTATCCATTAAGATGATTCAACCAACATATTATTTACATCCAACAGTAGATATATGTCTCTTTGGATCAAGCCTTTTGAAATACACATAATTGCCTTCCATTCTATTGTTGAATTGAATTTTAATCATGAATTCATCGAAGTATTTTTATCATTTTCTAAGACTTTACTTTTAACTCATAATGAGATTTTTGCAATTGACATACTATCTCTTTGTCCCCCACTTTTTTCTTAACATGAAGAATGGCTCATATATATTAATTCATCTAGCTCACGATGTAAGAAAGTAGTTTAAAATTTAAATTTTTAATCTCAGATCAAAGTTCATATCCATAACCATATGAACTCTAATGGAGGAATGTTTAACAAATTGTGAGAAATCTTTTTGTAGCTCATTTTATATGTCACTAAGCCACCAACTGATCTTTTTTACCTTGGCTTTTCTACTCTTTGGATTTCTAGCTTTTTTTTTAAAATCATTTTGTAGCTCATCAATTTCTACCTTTTTATATTTTTCATAACCTTCCATGTATTAATTATACCAGTGTATCTATTTCTAATTCATGACATGAGTTCAGTGCTTCTTATCTCTATAAATATAACATCTTGAAAATTTATTGGCTCTCTTTAATAAATACACTCTACACCTACCAATGCAAAAGCAAATACTTCTAAATATTTATATTTGTTTGGTGGCCTAATATCCCTTTTAGTTCTATCTTTGATGAATGCATATGAAGAAAAGACTTACAAATCTTCAAATTGAACTCCCTCATTTTCTTCCATTATCTATAGATTTCTAGCCATTGAAGAAAACGCCACTACTAGATCAACACTTTCTCCCATTGAGTTCTCTAAAATGGATTTTATGGGCATGGTATAGCCTTTGTAGAATTCATTTTGTTTGAATGTTACTTCTCTAATTATCACCCTTGGACCAATGGGCTCCATCTTCCATAAGCTGTACCCATTAACATCATTAAACTAACTATGAAAAGCATATTTCTTAGCTCTTTGTTTAAGCTTTTCATGCTTCAAGCGTGCTTATGTTAGAAACGCAAACACCTTGAGGTGATCATACTATGGATGCCTTCCAGTCAACTTTCCTTTAGGTGTGAGAAAATCAATTGAAGATGATGGACATTTATTTATTGGATAAGTGGTTGTTGCAAAAGTTTCAAACACAAAACCTTTTTTGAAAATCCATAAATGGACAATAAGCACCTTAACTTTAAAATATGATTTTCCTTAAATGCTTAGGACAATCCTTTGATAGTATGATGTTTATCTATTCCTTTGCAAGCACAAGAACTATGAAAATTACCATCACAAAACTATTGACCATTATATGTTCATAGTTTCTTAATCTTCTTTCTAATTTGGTTTTCCATTAACGCAACCCATTTCATAAATTTTTTTAATGTCTTGCTTTTGCATTCAAGATAAAAATCTAGACCTTATCTAGGTAATGATCAATAACGGGAAGAAAATCCCTATTGCCACTTGTGGAAGCCACTCTAGATGGTTTCTAAATATTTGAATGTAAGTATTCTAGAATTCTTTTGGTGTTATGCTCTCTAATTTTGAAACTTGATCTACAAGCCTTCTTGAAAACACAATACTCATAAGAATTCCAAAATCTATAGTCGATCGTCATTCAAGAGCCATTGTTTAATTAATTCTTATAGGCCACTTTAACCCACATGTGCCAATCAATTATATCAAACCCTTTTTTATTTAGTACTGTGATTTTGAACAATAGTTGCTTTCTCTACCACTATCACTCCCTTAAGTACATACATATCATTTACTTTGATCACCTTTATGTAAGCAATTGAACCTCAGAAAACCTTCAGCACATTATTTTCACCTTTGAATACATAACATCCATCATCAAGCATCCCCATGGACAATAGATTTTATTTCAATTCTAGAACTTGACTAACATTGTTCGACTTTCTTTCACATCAATTAGCCATCAGTATGGTTATGGATCCAATACAACCACATGCATCATGATTGAAAATAAAAATAAGACAATCTCTCGGTACTTTTGTTTATCCGTGGTAATCAATATTGGATTCTTTTGCTAGTGCTATGATAGCTTTGGTCCTCCTTTAGGACCATTAGCGACCAAAGTAAATGAATGTTCTCAAGTAGTATGAAAATGTACCCTTCTTTTGGCTTGCACATGATAAGGGAAACTACTTGAGCCTATAAGTTATTAATTCGTCATCATGATGATATAAATAAGATTTCATCTCCAGATAATTTTATTTACTTAAAATAATCAAGACCAAATACTTATGCTAGTGTTATGATAGCTCTGACCCTTCTTGAGGACTAGCAATGACTGACTTTATGGTATGTTGTTGGGTGGCATGAAAGTGGACACAATATTTTCCATGTTGATGCATGGACAATTGCCATAATAAAATAAATAATCATAATAATCATGAACCAT